AGCAGGGAGGGAAAACAGATGAATTTCAAACCAGTGAAAAAAACCAGCAGGGAACATCCTTCCAAAGAGACTCTTTGGCTCCTGGGTCTTAGCTGGAAACATTTTCAAGAGGGGGATTGAAACTATCAAAAGGAATGACAAACACCCCAAGACACCCTCCCCACTCTCTCTCCCTGCGCACCTCATTCTCTGCACGGGAGAAGACAAAGGAAACAGCTGTTGGACTCTGTGGCAGAGGGTCCTGATGTGATCTGCTGGAGCACAAGGTGAGAAAGTTTGCTTTTCAACTCCAGTACTTTCTTAAGCAGATACTAGGAAGTGTTTTATCTTTATTTTTCTTGGAACAATTTCTGACTTTGATGCTTCATTGCTCATACTTTCTTGAAATTTGTCTCGTTATAATTAATAAATTTGTTCTACTGTTTTATCTAATCCAGTGTTGAAGTGTCTAGGTAAGTGTGGTGTTATTGACATGAACTGTGACTGTATAGATCATTGTTGCAACCAGGGTACTATGGTTGCACCAGATCTTGAACAGAGGAGGTCAAGTGGGAAGGTTGTAGTTTGCTGGTTATGGTTATGCTGTCTGTATGTTTGGGGGACGGAGCAGCAGCCCCAAGTGACTGATACCTCCGATGTTGGGCCAGGGGTAAATGACCTTAGATGACTTACAGGCTCTCTGGTTCCGCGCTCTGAGCCTTGTGAGTTTCAAGCCTTCGTACGAGGCAGAAATTTCGATGAACCCAGTGACAAAGAGCTTTAGGGATTTTCTTTGTCTTCTCTTGCATGGCCCATAAACACCATGGATGTAATTTTCCAAGCTTTGTGGACATTTTGCAGTAGGAAAAAGCATAAAAGAGAACAACAACCAAAACGGGATGGAAAGGTTAACTGAAGGAGGAGTAACTGTGTTATTCCCATCTCCAACCCACTGGCTCCCACTTCCCTCCCAGAGCTTGGATTAGAACAGAGGCTTTCTGACTCTGAGCTCCCCTCTGCTCGAACCCATGAGACTCCACCCCACTCCCAGCGTCCAGAATAGAACCCAGGAGACCTGGTTCCCAGTCCCCCTGCTGGCTGCCTCAAAAGAACAAAAGGGAGGACCAGAGACAACTCTTCATCATGAACCTTCAGTCAAACCAATGGAGTGTCACAGAGATGGAGAATGCCAGAGAATGTCACTGTTCTCCTACAGCCCCTGTGGGCTCTGCCTGTGGGCCTCTTGCAATCCCCTGAAGACAGTAGCACAAGGAGCAATGAAGGGTCACCAACTCTTGGGGCTCCATTTCCCACAATGTCCTGCCTTGTGAGCTGTGATCCACTCCAATCTCTCATGCTCAGCAAGACTGAGTGACCCCAACCATGTTCGCTGTATTGCCCTGGGGGTGCCATGGCACAGGGAGCAAGAGGATTAGCAGGGGTGCTCTCCCATGGCAGGCAGTGCTGGCTACCATGCCCTGCATAGTGCTAGGGGGCGCTGTGCTTCAGGAAGCAGCATGAGTGTCTCCTTATGGTTAATTGTGCTGCTGGACTTGTCACCTCGTGGAAGGTGTGCAGAGAAGCTAATGACATGCAGGGTCGTTAAATACCCACTGGCTCGTCTTGTCCCCAAAATTCCCACCTCCTCTTCCACTGGGCACAGAAATCTCACTCTGCTGAGCTCATGGATAAAGGTCTGCGCCTTTTTACAACAGCTCCGGTGTCCTACACTGCGGGGGTTGGATGGGTCAATGTTGGCTGGGATCGCTGCTCACTGACATGGCAGAACAGCCGGTCTGCCCCACAGGAGGGGGGCTGAATGGAAGCGCTGGGTGTCACATTTTGGGGTTTGATCCAAAGCCACCTGCCCTGTAACCCTGGGTGCCCTGAAATGCTCGGCTGCTACAGCTCCCTGTCTGGACATTCCCGGCCAGCAGACAAACATTTACTGAGTGTCTGTGATCAACAGCCCTGGTTTAGCAACACCAACTCCAGCAGCCTGCTTGGTACCTCCCAGGCCCTGGTCCGCAGCAGCCTCGGTTACTGCTAGCCAAGGAACCCCAACATCCCCTTGGCCTGAATGTCCCTCAAACCATCTGCCCTGAAATGTCCAGCCCTCTCCTGCAGCATCCAGGGAAATAATAAGGTTCTCTTGCTCCCTTTAAGAGACAATCCCCAGCTGCTCCCCACATTAACTGGAGTTACCAGTGCCTTGAATTCAAACCCAGCCCTCGGTTGGTTTAGATTGAAATAAACCAAGTTTATTAACAAGAGGCCATGGGTTAAGCGATGCCAAGTGAAAATAAACCAAGTTAGGGTTGGTTACAAGTAAATCAAAGGGAAAACACACAGCTGAAAGGCTCAAACTCAAGGCAGCAAGGCACAGTCTGCGTTGAAGGTGATTTCGCTTTCCGGTTACTCTTGGTCTGGCCTGGGCAACAGGCTCTCGATCCTGACCTTCCTGGGAAGTGCGAGGT